TTCAATGCTCATAGGCTTTTAATTCTAAGAGATTCTCGATTTAATTCTAGATTCTAATTCTGCATTTAATTTTTATGCTATCCATTAACTATAAGTTATCTATTATTAGATGTGTTATGTGTTTATTAAACTCGATTTTTATAGTCTTAACTCGTTTCGTTCGACTACGCGAGTACAATAAACAGATAAAAGGCTAAATTACATTATAAACTAAATCTCTCAATATCCTCTCAATCTCTATATATCCTCAATTCGCTAAAAGATGCCGAATTCAAACTAGTGGTCATGATGGATTTGCATAATGTTAATTAGCACGGGGAAGTCAGCTATGAAAAGAGAAAAGAGACGAACACAATGAATCAAAATTGTGTCCCGCCATTCGAGTGGACTCTCATCCTTTTTTCACTAAATAGAGACAGATGGCAGACATCAAAACTATCTATAAAAATAGTCAAGTCGATTGGGAAAGATTACATAAAACTGATCAAAATCATCATTAGGTTTTAGTTTTAAACAGGAAATTTACCTCTTCCCTTCTTTCTGACACTTCTTTTTTTTCTTCTTTCTTCCTTTCTTTCTGTTCTCTTTTCTCTTCTTTTCCTTGAAGCTTTTTTTACTTTTAAATGCAAGTTTTGAGTTTAAAACAGAAATTCGTATTATTGAATTGTCTTAAATTGAATTAAATGCATTAGAAATGATACGTTTGAGTACAAAATATATGAAAGCTAATCGATTAATGATCGATCAAAGTCTAACAATTGAAATTTAACTGAGAACTTATAAAAAACACTCTAAAACCAATTTTAATAGCAAAACTGGGGATAGGCCCGTCTTAGTATCCGCCATAACTTCCCACCCCCGTACAGTCGCGTAGTCACCACCTTATGAATTTGGTATTTCATTTGTTTCAGAGCCCTAATACGTGCAACAAATGTGACTATGGTATCAAAAAGATAGCCCTATTCAGCTGGTTATTGATACCTAAGCGATTTAGCATGAAACCAGTGTCGGAAATAGCTCGTACCCCCCAAAGCTGACTACTCGTTAACACTCCGCACCATCGTATAGAGGTGCGGTACTATATATAACATTTACGGCCGCTTCTTTAATCTTTAAATCTTCATGCTCATATCTCCAATATTTTCAAACATTTCACTCAAACACTCGATTCTTTCCATCAAATCGATCTTCAATTCATTTCTCTCTGGAAAGACCCAAATCTCTTCAAATCAATCATTTCTAATCCATCTTACAACATATTGCTTTGATGGGAACCTGTCCCTTACCCTGTTCCTGCCCTTTCCCTTCCCTTTCCCTTTCCCCCAATCCCATTTCCATCTCAATCAATCCCTTTCCCTTTAGGTATTCCTCTCTTGTTCAGCCTGCAAATCAAGCAACCATATGCCACCCTTCCCTTTTCTCCTCCTGTATTACGCCCTTCTCCTCTCTATTATGGATTGAGTGAATCGACGAGAACAAACAATTTTCACACCATTCACATTTGTTTAGTTTAATGAGGGCCAAAAAGTAAGCAATGAAATCCAGGCAAGAATTGAGTCAAGCACCGGGCCAACGTAGCAGAAATTTGGGGAGAAAACAGCGACGGTGGCACTATCTTAAACGGGCAACAGAGTTCGGGGTGGGTGGGCAAAAGGTTTGCATTTTAAAAATCGAATTCAGTCAAAAACTGACCAATATTAAGCAGAAACAGAAGTTTTCAAATTGTGAGCTCGGAAAGAACTTGGAAGAACAAGAGGAAGTAGAAGAATATTGAATGAATACAACTATTGTTTTGAATGAACAGTCAAGACTCGTCGTAACCTTTGAGTGTAAGTGATGCTTGGATTGGTGAAATCAAACAATAGTACTATTTAAAAACGAAGACTTTCAAGACCCATTAAAAAAAAAAAGAATAAATTCCTTAAATAACTTTAAATAACTTTTTGCACCAACCTCTAGCAATTAGTAGCGGAAAAGGAATAAAATTAGAGAAAACTCGTGTCTTGAGTCATCATTTTCACATCATTTCTTCAAGAGATTTGAGCTGAAAACAACTATTGTTGATTTGAGCTGAAAACAACAATCTAATATCTAAAAATATCCCGGAAATTTGAGCTGTAACGACAAGAAATCAAGAAATATGATTGAATTCCGCACGCAAAATCCGTCATAATGGAAATGGTTTGGTGGAAAAAAAAGAGAAAACAGTGCAGATAAACAGTACAGATAAGCAGTGCCAGATAAATAGTACAGATAAACAGTACAGATAAGCAACAATAAACAATACAGATAAAACAAATAGATAAATGAGTACAGATAAACAGTACAGATAAACAGACAATAATGGTACAGATAAACAGTAAACAACAGATAAACAGTAAACAGATAAACAACAGATAAACAAACAGTACAGATAAAGCAGAACAATTCTCGAATACTCTGAAGAAGTGAAATTCAAGAAATTTACCTAAATTCGATATCTAAAGTTGAACAAGATCAGAAATTTGCAATATTATAAAACTAAAAGTTAACTAAGCCACAAAAGGATCCACGAAAAGCTCAAAATTCTCGAACAGAGATGGAAAAGTCCTGTTTTTTCCCCTTCAACGAAGAGCAAATTGTATTCAAGAAAAGGGGAAAACCCCTGGGACACGGAATAAAAAAAAAAAAAAAAAAAAAAAGGCTGCGGAAAGCTCTCTTTGCTAAATCCTCTTCTATTGATTGCACTTTTTTGGGAATGAAAAGGGAACTGGGAGGGACTGAGAGTGTGGCCCTTCCTGCTATTTCCCTCCCCTCACCCTCACATCAAAACAACATTATGTTCCTTTTTTTTTAATGTTAGATTAGGAATTAGATTTGAATCTAATTTTTTGCATTACTTTGTGAAAATCATAATTTGAAAGAAAAAAAAATGAATCAGAATGAACCAGAACCAAAAACCAAAGGAAATGAAGCATTTTACCTTTTAAACACAAAGTTGACGTTTAGAAAATGTTTTTTTAAAGATTCTATACTTTACTAAGTATTTTGTGCTCAAAAAATGTGACACAATCTTTCTAATGCATTCAAATTTCATTATTGATCATTGGCAAGAAAAACAAGAAGCCGTAGCGTGCTAGAAAGGGTGGGTTTATGTTGAAAGCAGCACAAGGTGAGCTGAAAACTTCTTTCTAAAGATCTAAAAAGATCCGAAATTTGAGCTGAAAACGACAAAAATATAATTGAATTCACCAGTACAAATGATAATTCCTATTGGAGAAGCTGTAAATTTGAACTTGAACTAGTGTAGGACATTTAGCTATTAAAAAGACACAGAATGTGAGTTAAAGCTCAGAAGTAGCTTCAGGCTTCAAAATTACCTGAATTCACTGGAAGTAAATGTGAAAAAAACTTCTGAATATGGAAAAGCAGATATTTTCGGATGAAAAAAATGTGAGTGAGGGGGGAGGGGAAAAAAGTAAAAAAAGGAATTCATTCAAACCGTGCCCCTCATATCCAAATGGGTAATCCCTTTCAATCCTTCATCCTCATCTCTTCTCCCTTTCCCCCATCTTTTGAGTCCCATTTCTATAAGTCGCTTCTCTTTTCCCATATTTTTTCTAGCTTTCTAGCTTTCCAAGTTTATTAATTTCCGGTACATGATGAAAATAGATCAAATGTAGAAATAACGCTTCAGAAGTGTCACTGAAGCAAATGTCGGCTCTATATATTGAGCTAAAAGCAATCTAAAGATGTATGACTATTTGAAATTTGAAATTTCAATGAAATAAATGCTTAGTTTAGATAAATAACCCCAATCTAGACATGAATTGAAAGCACAATAAGCCAATGTTCTTGTTATCTAAGGAGTGTACCAAATACCGTAAACTTTAACAGTTATTATAACACTAATTTAGTTGATTACAGCAAGCGAGGGCAGGCTTTCGAAGCATCTACCAGAGTCGACGCTCGGAAAAGTTTATGAGAGGACAGTAAGCCAAAAGAAATCGATTTGAATTAAAGCCAAAAGAAAAATAACAGGCTGAAAATCTAAAAGAATATAAAATTTTGCATAAACATCTAAACGGATGCTAGGTGGAAGAGCCTGGGGACCTGAGCTGAGGGTGGAGGGAAGCTAAGCCCATTTGGGGGCGGTGCCTCCAACCTTTCATTTCTTCTTCCAGTCTGACCCTTTCCCTTTTCCATCCCCTTATGTCCCTTGTCCATCCTATTATGGGAAAGAGAAAAGAAAAGCTCAAAAGAACTGGACACAACTGACCAGCTGCACAAACCCCCGTGGGTTTTGGGGGGCTGTCTTGGACCACTTCTCCGCCTATCCCCTGGAGTGATTAGGAAACGCTTCCTCATCCCCTTCCAGTATCACACTAATTGATATCTGGCAATATTCTAGTAGAATTTAGAGGGTTTTGAAAATCCTTTACAGTCCAAGCTTAGTAAAGGACCTGAATAAACCTTAAGCGAGCAAAAGGTCAATGTTTTTCAAACCCAAGCCCTGTTTTTCTGTGAAATTTGCATTCTGCTCAAAGAATTAAAATGCAATCGGGCAGCGCAAAGTAAAAGTTAACAAAAATGTCCGAAAACAAAGCTGCAATGCAATGATTGAATGGGACGTAATTCAAGTGGAGGAGACAAGATAAGATGGATGACCCCCCCTTCAGAAAAGGGAAAAGAAGGGAGGTGAGATAAAGAAACGTTGAGAAATGAAGGGGGGAACATCAGGGAATCGGAAAGGGGACAAATGGATTCGATTAAGCGATGTCCCTCCCCCATTGCCCTTCTTCACATCCCTCATTCAAACACCCCATCAGTCAACCCCTTTTCAAAATTATTCACAACATCGTTTGTGAAGTGCGTATCAGAGAAAAGGGACATCTTTAGCTAGTTTTGCATAACAAATTTGAGTCCAATGAGAAGTTTGAAACATGTTTTATCTGAACTTTGCTCGAAAATTTATGCGCTATATACAACAAACAAAAACAACGTGAAAACCACCGGTTCTACTTTTTTGTTGGGATCCAGTCTGCCCGTTTAGCCCGTAACTCCGTGTCCCAACTGACGAAAGGCTCCATTTTGAGTTTTCCTACCGTCGAAGTGAAGAACTCGTGTAAATCGATACCTAAATTGCACCACTACTACAATTCGGTAAAACGGCGACTCGAACCGTATTTCTGCTCGTAGTCAAACGCTTGCGCGATCATATCGAATTTGTCGAGGTGATACGCCAACCTGAACAAGATCTACAATAAGTAAAGCGAAATCTTGGCGGTCTGAGTCCCTTTGAATTTACCTTGGCTTCTTCCGTGCTTTATTGCTCATATATATTCCCGCCATAATGTTACCCAGTCAGTCCCAACGTCTTCCGGTACAAAAGTGGCAATTTGTTGCATAGCCTATATAAAATTATATGCATTTAAAATAATGGCTTACTTTAGCTTCCAATGCAGTTTATTCTCCTTGCCGATTCCACAATGCGGCGTTATGTCCACCAACGATAGCTTCGCCAATATCGTGAACCAGAGCATCCTAAAAGGTTAATCATTAAGCCAAAGTCAAATGAATTAACGCTAACCATTTATAAAGGGAACAAGATTTACCGGACACATCTGAGGCATCGATCCCAGGAATTTGTCCATCTAACGTCATCGCGAGAACAGCCATTCGATACATATGCGAGGCCACAGTTTCTGGTTCATCAATCTAAACCGCTCTTTTGTAGCGCAAACTGATAAAATACCAACATTATTTTTAACTTATCCAAGCCTCGTTTCAGATGCTTCAACGTGTCACAGAATTTTTAATAATTCAAAATTTTCGCTAAAACGACTTCCACTATTTAGCAAACCGTCCATTTTTCCAAAATTCAACAAGCATCCAGCTATATTTTAAACGCATGCAAAATACAATACATGTATTTATTCACATTTACAAGGATAAAAACGTGAGATCTGAACGTGAAATCTTAAAGCGTTTTGAAACCAAATTTAATATAACGTCACTTTAATATTCATACTGAAAGGTCAAAAGAGAATTGAGTCATACCGTCTGACTCGTGTCGCGGATAGTTGGGGCTTCGCCAGGCACAGCGCTAATATTCATACTGTCCATATTCTCCGTCACATCCTCGTATGATTCTTCATCGGCAATCATTTGGTTCATTTTCTAAAGAAAAACGTTGTTAACTACGGTAGGATTTCCATGATAAAGCGCTGTCAAGTCTCGACCTCTAGTCAACTCTTATTACTACCAGGTAGAAACTTTGAAATAGTAAACTTACTTGCATAATCAGTTATTGCATCATGAATATCTCGTTCCTTAACATCCTGATGAGCGATAACTACGCGCCTCTACAATCAAAGTAGTAAATCAATACAAACAAAATTGGCTACCTTCACAACTTCTTGTTTAAGTTTCGTTATTCTCTTTTCAAGTGCATCATCGTCGAAATTTGAAGGAACCTGAATAATTAATTGTAAAACATTGTAAAAATCATTACCTCCAAGGTTGGATTCTATGTTCTGGCAAAGTAACATGCTCTGGTGATCCGCATCACATAACGTTTCAAGTTATCCTAAATTTAACAAGAGGATTATTGTTTCAAAGTTCGAAACCTCAAATTTGTTCATCGCATTGGGAAGAAGGTTGTCTTTCAATAGCGACTTCGTCAATTCTTGGCTAACGGCAGCGGTCTTCATGTTCTCAAACCAAAGATAGTACATCGTATGCCCCAAAACCCGTTGGTACATCTGGCATCTGTTCATCGTTAACCCATTTCTTCGACCATTCGAGCCCAATTTTCGACGATGATATTGTGAACTGAAATCAGCGATATAAAAGCTAACTATGTATGATTTTCATGCTAAGCTAATGCCGAATCGGTTAACGCCGCCGGAGAGAAACCGAAGTGTTGCTGTGAAAACGTGTTTGTGTTCTCGCCCAACAAATCCATCCCTAAAAGACGTTTAATTCAGTACGACAAAATCTTAACTATGCCTACATAACAAAGGTAGTCAAGTATCCGAATGTATCATACTACTTCAAAAGCACAACGAAGCCAGATACCATAAAATTTATTGCATTTGAAACAAAACCGAATTTCCAGACAAATATATCACTACAATAATTCACAAGAACCCGAGCCTAAAAAAACACCGGACAAAGGAAAAAAAATATAATCAATCAGGTATAAGAAAATATGGGGAAAATTACGAAGCACTTTGTTTTTGTGGCTTGAACAAATCCATCGTTGAGATAGTCGTAAGTGGCAATGTATTTGTGTCCGTATCCTTGTCGAAGTCATCCCCCGCGTGCGCTTCTTTTTGCGGTGAATTGAGCTTCTCATCACCTAAAATTTTGTTCCAAAGGTTGTAAAATTTGAGTTTAAAGTACCAGTTTTGTTTTGTTGATCCACTAGCGTCTTCCAAAATTGCTTTCTGCGTATTTGCGAGAGCGTTGAGGTGGTCGAGTCGTGAATACTTGTGAAGTGCAAAAAAGGTAACAATCTGGGAAGAAATGTTGATTGATAGGGTAAACCAAAGTCCAACTTACCTCACGATTCCTCCACAAGTTTGAAAACTAACGCCGTTCTCATCCAAATCAACGGCTTATAACTAAACGAATAAATGAAATCCTTAATTTAAGAACTGCTTACCATTGAAAGAACTTGGAGTTGAAGTCGGAAAATGGAATGCTTTTTACATAAGCTGCTTTCTTGAGTTTCTCTTGTGGCATATCGGCAAAGTAGTTGACAACGTCGCTACCGAATTCATATAATTTGAAATCATCAGCATTGAGTAGGTACTTGATCTAAATAAAATAAATAGTTTTAGATAAGAATTAACAAACCTCGAGCATCGTTTGAAGAGCCAAAAGCATATTTCTAATCTTTGCGGCACGTTCTTCGACGGGTACAAGCTTCTATAAACGTTTTAATAATTAAAAAGCTTGATACAATAAATATTGATCTTTAGAATGGAAATTGAGGTGCTGCATAATTACGTCTTCATCTCTGACAAGCTTTTCTTTGACAAGTGCATCTTTGATGTCCCTATAATTCCAAATTAGAAAAGACTTAACGTTCAAAACTCACCGTGCACCCTTTCTCGGCACCTATTTCAGCCAAGATCTGAATCGAAGTAAGGCCTTCAAGTCGTGGCAGGATTAATTCATTATTGCAAGCGTCTCCTGATCAGTCGAGCAAGTGTCGTCTTGTTGTTTTTCGTGAATCTGAAAGAAAAACGAGTAGTAACAGAAAAAACCTTTACAAACCATGCTCTGGCTTTCCATCAGCCAAACCAGTAAAAGTCAAACGAATTGCGCGCACAAGTTGTTGATGCGACTCGCTGAGCTTCAGAACACCCCACAATTGCTCGGTCATGTCAAGAAAACGGCTGAACTCCCAAGTATCTCAAAGTATGCAGTTCAAACCATACCCTTCTCTGCTGTAAACTTAGCTCCGATTTGACAAGTATCAATAATCTAAATCAGTGATACAAAAAGTTGCTACCAAAAACTTACTTTGTGAATTTGGTTTGCTAGAGCAGTTTCATCATTGGACGAGTCAAATTTTAGGCCATTTCATCTGCTCAATATCATTTGTTAGCAAAGCGTTGCACATTGCCTAGAGAATTCCTATTGATAAATCTTGTACAGACATTACTAAAATTTGATCCAATTCATTAACAAGCGAGGCGGCACCCAAAACGAGAGTCTCGCCAGCCTGGTTGAATTTTTAAATATCCCGTAGCCGATGAAGCAGGTTGAGTTAGCATGGCTTTCTAACCACGTAAAAAATTAATCAAAGATATTGCATAGCATTTTCCTCACAGCATTTTCCTTCGCCAATTGAAAGTGACGATTAGTTCCCCCCCGATTCAACAGCTTTCTCGTTCGAATCCCGGACGTGGATAGAGCTAAACTTCATTTTCAAATCATATCCAATTAAACTTACACGGTGTATATAGCCGTGGCTTCACATCGAGGCTTTGGTTCCAGTAACTCGCTGAGTTAGTTGATTGATTTCTCAACCATCGCATTTGACGAACCTAGGTAGGTATATTAGAGTTTTCGATATTGCACAAAGAACTACCAAGAAGCCTTGTTGCAAACTCATGATGCGCCCCATTCGTAGGTCTTTGAAGTCCTAAAAACAATTATTTCGAAGAATGCAATTCAAAGCCAACCAAATACACAGAGCCCATGCCATCACTTGCTTCAGCAACAATCAGCATTGAAATTATTGATACTCGTGTCAAAATGTTCAGATCCGTCCCTGACAAGCCTCAACCTGTAAAGTTAACCACTTTCCCTCAAGAAGCTTGCTTTTGGCATAAACGAATGGCGTCTTTGCAGGGGATCGGAGTCGTCTCAGCATTAGATCGTTGTCATAGTTGATGTCAATACGTCGCAGCCTGGTGTCCTTTGGCCTAAAAGAAGTTTATGAAACAATTTGTGAATGAAAGCTACTTCTTCTGGCTCGATCCAGCTGTCAAGTGTAAAGGAGAAGTGCAGTGGACCGTTTTCATCGTCATCCGGATTCACGGTAAAGCAGGGCCAGCTCCAATCGCTGGACACTGGGCATCCTCAAACAAATCTAGGTTAATAAAATTACAAAAAGATTAGTATAACACTACTAAAAATTGAACAAAACTCAAACTTACATTCACTTTTTGGCAAATCAATAACGACGACCATTTGGTTGGCTGCAAAGCTGATCGTCGAATCTTCGAAAAATCGGGACCTAAAATCAGCAATCAAACACGAAAATAAAGAAACAATGTTGCCTTTCTTTTATCCACAATTCGCGCACTCTGATATTTCGACAGCTAAGAGAAAAGAATAAGGGCATGATTTAGTCAAAATTTACCAAGAGTTCGTCATCACAAACTCCCCGCAACAAACGATCACATCTTAGATGAGCTTTAATGCTAAATTAAAAGAATAGCAGGGGGCTCTATTGGCGAGAGCTTGCTGGGAATAGAGTGGCGGAGAGGTTAAACAAAACTACAACGCAACTTTTCGTAAAATACTGGCAACGTTACTGTCATGGGTGGTATGAAAGAGGTAATCAAAAACTATGATTAATAAACTGAGCACTTTGACCCGACTTGGTCAGACCCTATTCCACGCCGTTTTTTAGTCTTGTTTTTCATTTTCTGGGATAATCAACACACTTAATCGATTGGCGAAATCTTACAGATAGTTTAAACAAAAGTTTTAACATAATAGTTTGCCCCCTCGTCATTTTCAAGCTGAGCAATAGTGGAAAACAGGAAACTCAGCTAGATTAACAGAAGGGTATCAATAAAAATGTTCAATCTTAACTTTCAAAAATCCTATTAATGGGATGAAGGATGTTTGATTTACCCCAGAAAAAGTAAGATTACTTGTAGTAAAATAGTCATTAAATATAATCTGACCAAATCGGATCAAAGTGCTCGTCCCCCAGTTGATATTAGTACCAGTCGTACTACTGCGTCAGGTAGAAAAGCATTGGGGTAGCTGCTATGCGCAAAGAATTGTTTGCGCAATTCGCCATAACTTTTTCTAGTCAAAAGCTTGGCCATCTTTATGAAATTGGTGTTATTTGTTGAACAGGTGCTGAGATCTAAAAGTTACGAAGGTTACGTAGCAAATAATTTCTGCGAAAAGTAGCCACACCCCCAGTAGGCCATAAAAATAGAAACTAAAACCCTGAGCTTGGTTGCCGCCTGATTCTCCTGTGAGGTACAGTAGGTTAGGTGCGCTAGAGCGAAAGAGAAAATGCGGTTTTTCTAAAACTCTGAGATTACTGGGCATTGAGCACTCCTGAAACACATTCCCTGACCTCCTTTATACCAAGCAAGAATGTGCTCTTTTGGTTAAAGCATTTTCCTAACTAGTAGTCTTGGGGAAAAGCCACGGTATCCGGCCTGTCTTTTCTAAAGTGGATTTACGGTAGTCTAGATTACGGTAGCTTTTCTTTATTTTAAAAAACTCTAACTCAAGAGAGCTAAACTCTAAATCCACACATGTCATAGATCTTAGCCAGGTTCATAGTTCCAGCTGACAAATTCGTGATGAAATCGATCAGTCTTTCCATTTACACCTCAACTCTGCATCATCTGAGAAATGCCCACTTTCGTAATGCGCTCTCCACATCCAAATCTTTTCCCGAGACGACTTATCAAATTGTGCTCTTATTTCGAACTTTTCACTATAAAAGACCACTCATAAAAGGAAAATCTTAATCAAAAATAACAAAGTCATACAATTGTATGTTTTCTGTTTCTGTTTCCAGGTTCCGGCAATTTCCAGTGGACTCTTTTTCTATATCCCTTCCAGTACCCTCTTTCAACGGGATTTATTTAAATTTACGTTTAGCAAGCCTTTTTTGAAATCTCTCTAAACTCTTCGGATGTAATTACTGAGGCGCTAGCAAAAGCGTCAAATTATTTGCGCCCCGTATGATTTGCGTCAAATTTGCCCTTCTCAACACACTTTCCTACCAACTCTGATCGTTTATTTTAATTTTTTTATACTACTTTTTCTCGTCGATGATGTCTCGCTATTTCGCCGCCTTCACCGGATCTGAAAAGGTAGCAAAAAATCGATAGGAAGAGAAAAAAGCCCAATCGGTGACACAAAATGACTGTTTATTGGGTCTATATTAGTTTAAAGGTGGTCTTCTAATTGAAAACAGTGTGAATTAAAATTGTGAAGCAGAAAACTGAAAAAAAGTTGCTTAGAAGTTGGGAAAAAGTGAGCTGAAAGTGATTTGCGTATAAGAGTAAATTTGGCGCAAATGATACACGGCATAAAAATTTTTGGCGAAAATGAAACGTGGCGCAAAGCAATGCGGCGCTTCTTTGCTACCACTTCCTTACTTTGAGCTCAAAATGGAAACGCACCCCTTTCTGTGGTGCCACTGAATTCTACCCTTTTCCACTGGAAGTCACCTCACTTACAGTTGATCGTTTTTAGAGGGAAAATGGAAAATTCAGTGCACTAGAAAGGTGTCAGGTTTACATTTTTGGAACACAAAGTACACATTAAAGTATTTTCGTCAAGTGATTCTTTTTAACTTGAAAAAGAGAGAGAGATCAAGAGGAGGAAAAGGCACAAAAATTCCGCATCACTGACTTGTTACCGTGAGTCCTTTTTCATTTCTTTTCCCTTTATTTGATCAAAAGATCAAACATTTCTATTTTCTCTCAAAAAAAAAAAAATCTTTTCTCTGAGGTTCTCCCTCCAAATTTCATCGGTTCAAAAACAGTTCCCTAGGAAACAAATATATTCAAGAGTTTCTGCGCTTTCTTCAAATTGTTTTTTTCATTTCATTTCATTTCTTTAGCTCTGGCACCGATCAGTTTCTAAAAAATTGAAGAACTAGAAATCTGTAGAAAAACTAAAAATATTAGTCTCCTGACTTTAGGTAGTTAACTTAAAAAATGGGGTAGGCTAGTTTCAGCCAGCTTTTTTGCCTGTAAGAAGGTCGTTTGCGCAACTCACCATAACATATCTTCTAAGTGGGCTAATCTTTATGATTTTGATTTCATTTGTTGCACTTATTGGGATCCTAGAAAATGAGACCAAAATCATAAGATTAACCCACTAAAAAGAAAATTATCTCGAGTGGCACAAATAAATAAGCGAAATTAGCGTACCCCCAAAACTGAATCTTTATCTTGAAATCTTCATGCTCATATCTCAATATTTTCAAACATTTCACTCAAACACTCGATTCTTTCCATCAAATCGATCTTCATTCATTTCTCGGAAAAGACCCAAATCTCATCAAATCCAATCATTCACCAATCACAATAACACAACATATTGCTTTGATGAGTTTCGTCCCTTTCCCTGTCCCTTTCCCTTTCCCTTTCCCTTTTGCGCAAAAGACCCAGTTGCCCATAAAGACCCTATTACGCAAAAAAAGTTGAGGGAACTAGCCTCACCCCAAAAAGTAACTAACCACCAGTTATTTTCTTGATTGAATATTTGCAAAAAATTATAAAATTTAGACAAATTTCACTGGTTTTCAATGAACTACTCAATCCAATTTTAATGTAAAAGGTTAAAAACCCCAAATTCTTAACTCAAAAATTCAATTTCTAGACATGGTAAACCCGTTTCAAACAAATTTTACGACTATACAGTAGTCCACAAAAGTACTTTTATTGGAGCTAATTCTCAAGTACCTTATTGGTTTTGTTTCATACTTTAATTTGTATGTAATGTATACGGATAAATCCTTATGTTCTTCAAGTGATCTTATAGGTAGATAAAAATACCCTACTCTTTTTCTGAAAATGTCAATTTTGCAAGATTTCCTTACCCCAAATACTGTTGGATGGCAATGGGGCATTACTTTTTGTGGACTACACTGTCTATCTCATTTTTCAGTGAAATTCGTTGGAATATTAACCTAACTGACTTTTTAGGTTTACGAATACAGAATCGAATATATAATCCTGCTCTAAATTTCTGACTTCTGACTTCTGACTTTGTCAAAACTTTTTCTCTTTTCCTCTTGTTTCTTTTTGCTTTTTAGGTCAAAAAGTCTTATCAGAACGATGCAAAAGAGCATCGAATCCATTCATTGAAAACACTTGGCCCGATTTGACCCCTGAACTGCTTTTTTTAAGATATTCTGTTTATTTTGAAGCTTGTTTCTTTTCAAATTTTTTTACCATTTTGGGAGAAATACGTCTACTCTTGCCATTGTTTTGCCTTCTTTCGATCGCTCATTCGGCCAAGATCAGCATCGTGTTATTGGAGGTGTCGAATAGTCAGGTACAATGTTCTAAATTTGAAATTTGAATTTAAGAAGCATTTGATCTCTTTTAAAAATTTAAACACTTGTTTAAAACAGTCTAAAGAACAATGGTAAAATTTGTTTTGATTTGTTGGATTTGTTTCTCTTTAGAAGTACCAAAGAGCACTTTTTGAACCTAGTTTTTGTCTTTTAACTTTTTAAAAAGCTTTTATCTTTTAAAAAATTATCAAAATTTCAGAAGATTGACAGATTAGAATCAATTTTAAGCAGGAACCACATTTAAAGAGAATAAGAGACAAAATTTAAGAGAAATAAAGAAACAGAATTTAGAAAAATAAAGACAGAAATTTAGAGAAATAAGGATTTTTAACCATTTTTTTTACCAATTTTAACCATTTTTTGAAAAACTTTCTAAATCCTGATCATTTTCAGCAAACGAGTCGCCGAGACGCTTCTCCCAACGAATCATTCGATCTGCCTGGTCATGATTCTGCCCGTTCTAAACAAGAAAAAGAGTGAAAATCGAGATCGATCCAAGGATAAAAAAAAAATATTTCTAATCTATTTCTAATCTATTGCTAATCTTTTCAAGATTTTATCCACTCTTTAATTAAAAACCGTCAAACACAATGGTTGCCGGTGTGAACATCGATCAGTGGGAGAAAAAACAATCGGAGATGATTTTCCAGGTACAGTTCATTTATTAACCGGTGAATACTATTCTATTTATATTTCTGCTTTACTTATATTTTACTGACGCTACTTTTATGCGAA